TTTCGGAAGACAGTGCTGATCTCACACTCCAGTTCTTAGCAAACAACACACGTATGGCTGATCAGCGGAGGTCCATTCATTAAGTAATTGTCCTATTCATCACAAGACAAATTGAGACTGGATGCGGTTACAAACGTTGTGCCTTTTGGCCTAAAAGTCCATGGTCTGAGCGCCCTGGCCAAGACTCAATTTGTGGTTTCTCTTCGTGCAACAGATCGAAATCCAGCAAAACAAGCTGGTCAAAAAGTCCAAAGCCAACTGTGTTGCTTGATGTCGTGATGTTTCAGATTCTTACCCCAACATTTAGTGTTAATGAAGCCGCCTCGTTTGGACCAGCACCCAAGCTCCTCTTGCAAACCAGTGACAGTCCCACAGATTCCTAAGACACTGTGCCATGAAAATTTGCTTCACACCGTCCTCAGGTACAGCAGAATTACAGGACAGTACTCCTTTTGTCAAATCTATCTGGCTTCAAAGGCGCACCGTCCTGGCAATCCCTGTTCTGTGGGGAAAGAGCTTCTCATAGAGGCAAACAAGGATGTCCTACAGGAAGATGCCGAGAGAAACGGAGTGAGGATGCATTACTTTCTCAAAGTATGTATAATGAAACTAAAACAATGCGCAGGAAAATGGTGGGAGAACTATGACCGCGACAGAATGCCGTGAATTGTTGCGCAGTTCAGAATATGTGTCTAGGTTTGTATACCTATGGGTGGCTCTAAAGAAGGTACGGTGGAAGGTGGGATTCACCTCCCACAACCAAGGAAAGGCAATTGCCTGAAGAGGCAGCATTTGGTGTCTACTGGCCAGAGATTGAAGAGCTCACTTGGTGTTCAAGAGTGTGTTAGGAGCAGTGTTAGGAGCTTCTACTCTATTTTACTGTCCTCATTGTTGAGCATCGCTTCGAGGACCTTTTCCCTCAGACACAGCTCGCAGCTCAGACGCAAATAGAAAATAAGGCAGCCTGTGTCGCCTTTTTGAAACCCCCTTGGCACGTTCACAACTCGCAATGAAAGGGTAAGCAGCTTCCTGCTCAAAGTTCCGTTGACGGGACGCAAGTGGCAGAAGCTTTCCAAGCTCCTGACCGGTCAGACTTCTGCCAGTTGACGGTAATGTGTTTCTTCCTGCAGAAACGGGGAAGAAAATTCAGGTTTGACGACAGACATCCTAAGACCGTGGAACAAACATGAGGAAAGCATGACTCTATCCGATGCAATGCATTCAAACAAAAGATGGTTGCGTAGCGTCCAAAGCACCCCAGCCTCATGAGTTCTTTCCTGGCTTCATCGATGCATTTTAAGAAAAACTCCTGGCCAGGCAGGCGCAACAATGTTTTGACAGGGTGAGCACCACTTTCGGGTGTTCAAAGCAGTTAGGAGAGAACAATCAACCTTCGATCACTCCGCAAATTGGCATGGCTCGCCTCCATCTCACTCTTGTGAGAGTAAGCGGTGGCCCGGGATGCCTCAACCAAATCCGATGCTCTCATGTGGCACAAAGAAAACATTCTACATATTCTGTACATGTATATGTATGTATATGTATATAATGCATAATTCGTATATGTATACTATGTGTGTATATATAGATATAGATATGTCTGCCCTTCATCGCTTTCTCAAGCTGGTGTGACAAAATGCCTTGTTCATTTCATTGACTGGCCGTCTAGTTCCATTGCCAGTGGGACGTGCATTCAACTTTGTCCTTGTCCGTGAACAGCTTCAATTCATGTTGCACATGCTGTTGCAGGTGCCTGGAGCATCCGCACTGTGTACTGCTCCTTTTCGATTCTTTCCTTTAGCATCTGAATTGCCTGCAGGCAAAGCTCCAGCTTGGTGATTGAAGGCTGGCTTTGCGGTCTCCAGCATTATTCAGTCAAAGGTTCAATGAACAAGCTGCAGGAATGCTCCACCTGCCCATTCGCAGTACAGTATATACTAAAAATGCGCAAGGCACCTCCACATATCGTTGTTCTGCTTCGTTGCCAAGGACGCTTCGGCCTCCCATGCAAAATCAGTTTCAAAACGCAGGCAGGCGATGATTCGGTGTGACCGAAGGTGCTCACACCATCATGGGTCATAAAGCTTCTGCTCTGCCAAACTTCTGTCGTAAACTGTCTCTGTTCCGGAACAGCCAGCCTAATGATCCGCGTCCTGTACCTTGGAGTAGGAAGGCGTTGTCCGCTTGATCAGGGTGCCCCGTCTTTGGCGGGTTCCTCACCCTTGAGAACAACGGTATGAAACCCGGTGAAACCGATGGGGGTCTCAGATCACACTTTGATTGTTTGGGGGCCGCCCTGGTTCTTTCAATCATCGATCGCTTTCACAGTACTCTGCCATCAAGGCTTTCACCAAAAGTTCTGACTATTCTCGCTGCGAAACAGCATTGACAAGGCTGAGAGAGGGAGGGAGGGAGGGAGGGAGGGAGGGAAAAAACATCTTGGGCCCCAGCGGATTCCCACTGCCTCGGATAAAACTGCGCGTTTGACACACTTTGAGGATCTGTCTGTCTGTCTGGCTGGCTGGCTGGCTGGCTGGCTGGCTGTCTGGCTGTCTGGCTGTCTGGCTGTCTGGCTGTCTGGCTGTCTGGCTG